GGGCACAGCAACGAGAGGGGTGTCGCCTGGCGGCCCCCTCTGGTGGCGTCCAGAGGCCGGCACCGCATCAAAAGACAGACACCTCCCCCTGCCACTTGGCCGCCCCAGGACTTGACACTCATTCTCCCTCGACCTCACGACTGTTTTGTGTTTCTCTTCGCCTGCCACTGTCCCCCTCCCCTCCCCCTGCCCTGTGCATTTGCGGCCTCTGCGCCATATCTCCCAGTCTGCCCCTCTCCAACTGTGCGTCCGCCTCCGCCTCCGCCTCCGCCTCCGCCTCCGCTCCCTGCCCCCTGCCCCCTGCCACCTCTCCTGCTCGTTCCTTTCCGCGCTCCGTCCCTTACACCATCCCCCTGCCCTGTCCTGCCCTGCCCTGCCCTGCCCCCCCCCTCCACTCTCGACCATCCACCTCCCAGAGCTGCCCGCCCTTGGGAGACATGGTCAGCTTTTCCGTCCTGCGGGCTGTCGGGCTGCCGGCCGCCTCACGCAGCCTCCTTGCACCGGCGATCCTCCTGGTGCTGGTGCTACTCAACCTGGGTCACATCCAGGCGGCGCCTCTGTCTCGGCGCACGGCCTCCACCGCCGCCGTCAGTGTCGGTGCCAATGCCACGCCGCCGATCGCGGCGCTGAATGAGAACTGTTGGCACCCCTGCCTGGAATGCAGCACCGCCGATGACTACAGCTGCCTCTCCTGTGCCTCGGGCTATGCTCTGCTTGACACCGGGCTTTGCAGCCCCTGCCGCAGCAGCTGCTCGCAGTACACGCATAACATGTGCACCTGCGCCAACTGCAACTATCCCCTGGTGCCGGACAACATGTCCGGCTGCGGGTGTCCGCTCGGCACCCGGCGCATTGACAACCCTGTCAATGCCGATGACCCGGGCACCTGCTGCCACAATTCCTGCGGCAACTCCTGCTCTGACACCGGGGCCAACCACTGCCTCTCTTGCCCGGCCTCCGCCGCGGGCCGGGCCTTCTTCAAGTCCCCGCCGGATGCCGGGACCCCCGGGCCGTGCCTTCGGTGCCATGTGTCTTGCAGCGCGTGCATTGACGCGCCGTCGACCGGTTGCACCACTTGCGGCGCTTCCGAGGCCACTCGTTTGAAGTTGGTGGATGGTCAGCCGCAGCCGGCCGGCTCCGGCGAGGCTGGCTACTGCCGTTGTCCGGTCGGTTCCTTCCTGCAGGATGTCCAGCCATACCAGTGCAAGAGTTGCCCCCCCGAGGCCCACCCCCATTGCGTGGCTTTTGTGGATCTATCCGCCCAGCCTGGCATCGATCAGACCCAAGGCGCCGCCTGCCAGTGTGCTCGCTGCGAGCCTGGCTTCCACGTTGAGGCCGGGCATTGCGTTGCCTGTCCGGCGGACCGTGGCTGCCTCGTCTGGGCCGAGGACTCGGATGTCTGTGCCTGTGCCACGTGCCAGCTGGGCCTGCAGCCGGCCGGCTACGATGGCGATGGATCTTCGGCCGCCTCTGGGTCTGCGCCATCGGGCTCGTCTGGCGGCTCGACCTCCGGGTCGGCCTCCGGGTCTGCTCCTGGATCGGCCTCCGGGTCGGCTCCTGGGTCGGCCTCTGGCTCGGCTCCTGGGTCGGCCTCTGGCTCGGCTCCTGGGTCGGCCTCTGGCTCGGCTTCCGGGTCTGCTGCTGGTTTGGCCTCCGGCCTGGCCCAAGAGGAGGATCCTCTGGGGCCGATCTGCGTCGCCTGCTACAATGTCGATGTCTGTCTTTCTTTCGTGCCGGTTGAGGGATCTTCCTCATCGGGTTCCACCAGTGGGGGCTCTGCTCCTGGCTCGACCCCTGGTTCCGAGTCGGCCCCCGGGGCCGGTCTTGCGTCTACCCCGGCCGGCTCTCTCTCCAGCCTCTTCATCCCGCCGGAGTCCTGCTTCTGCCATCTGTGCGCCCCACAGCACACGGCCTCGGCGGCCGGTGTTTGTGAGCCATGTGCCGCAGTCAGCCACTGTCACGCGCATCTGGACACGCCGAACGTGTGCGGCTGTGCCTCCTGCTCCGGGGGGTTCCAACTGGCCGGGCCGTTGTCCTGCGATGCCTGTCCTCGGGACAACTGCTCTCTCTTCACCAGCACCCCGGACTCGTGTGACTGTGATGAGTGTGACCTCGGTTTCGAGCTTCTCTTCCCTGGGGACACCTCCGCCAGCACTCCTGGCGAGACTAGCGGCAGTGGTGGCACTTCTTCGCCAGGGTCGTCGTCTGGCTCGACTTCGGCCTCGGCGTCGGCCTCGGCTTCGGCTTCGGCTTCGACTTCGGCTTCGGCCTCGGCTTCGGCCTCGACCTCGGCCTCGGCTTCGGCCTCGGCTTCGGCCTCGACCTCGGCCTCGGCTTCGGCTTCGGCTTCGGCCTCGGCTTCTGCGCCGGACGCCCCTTCCGGCGCCCAAGTGTCCTCGGGCCCGGTATCCTGTGTGGAGTGCCACAACGCCGCTGGTTGTGCGGAATTCCTGGCCGAGACGCCGAACGCCTGCGTGTGTGTCAGTTGCGAGGCCGGGTTTGCCCTGTCCCAGACAATGCCCGGCAGCTGCGAGCCCTGTGTCCTGCAGCCCGGGTGCGCGGCTCTCGACACCACTACCCCGGGTGTGTGTGCCTGCACCGGTTGTGAGGCCGGGCACTTCGAGGAGTCCAGCAACAACCCCGGCCAGCCGACAATCTGCACGCCTTGCGATGGGTCCTGCTCCGAGTGTGCTGGCCCCGGGCCGGACATGTGCACCGTCTGTCCGGACGCCGAGCACCTTGTTCCCCCGGCCACCGGGGGGTTCTGCTTCTCCTGCCCAGCCAAGCACTTCGGTGACATGGCCACCGGCGAGTGTCATGCCTGCGCAGTCTCCTGTGCGGAGTGCACCGGCCCCGACCCCGAGCACTGCCTGTCTTGTGTGGCGGATGGCGCCTCGCTGGTTCCCCTGGACTCCAGCTCGGCGGGCCGGTGCCTGTGCTCCCCTGGCTCGGAGTTCACCGGCAGCGCGTGCCGGCAGTGCGCGACAGGGGAGTTCTTCGTGGCGGATGATGGGCGCGAGGGTGGCGGTGTGTGTGGCACCTGTGCGGCCGAGTGCGAGACTTGCTCAACGGCGGACTCTTGCCTCACTTGCCGGGAGGGCTTCGGCCAGGCCGGCTCGACGGTCGAGGACGACGGTGGCATCCGCTGCCGGGCTTGCACTGGCGGGGAGTTCCTCCGGCCTGGCGCCGGGCCGACCGACCCATATCCCCAATGCGTGGCCTGCAGTGCCAACTGTGCCACATGTAATGGCCCCTCTCATCGGGACTGCCTTTCCTGCCATCTGGCCGACGGGAGCCCCCCTCCAGCGGCCCCATCGGGTTCCTCCTCTTCAGCTTCCTCCTCGCTGGGCGACAGCGGCAGCAATGTCACGGTCGAGTGCCCCTGTGCCGAGGGCTTCTTCATGGCCGAGAGCGTCTGCCAGCGGTGCATTAGCACCTGCGCCACTTGCTCGTCGGCCGATTCGTGTGATACCTGCCCGAGCGCCGATCTGACCCTCATTTCCGACTGCGTGTGTCAGAAGGGCTTCATGCTGAAGGACGGCAGTGACTGTGTCCGTACGTGCCCCCCCCCCCCCCCCGTCCCCGCACATTGTCCTTTCTCCCTCCTTCGATGGGATTCCCCTCCGATCATGCTGCCCTCGTTGTCACTTTTCCGTTGCTTTTGTTGGCCCCCCCCCCCTCTTTCCCGAAGCATGCTAACACGCGCTTCGTGCTTTGGTGCTGCGCCCACATCGCGTGCGTGCTCCCCTTCCTCCATATATCGCGGTCAACCTGGACAGCCATGTCCAAGAAGCTGTCCAAGGCTGCCATCATCGGCATCTCGGTGGGTGCTGTGGTGGTGATTGTCATCATTGCCGTCATCATCGCCATGTTTGTCCGGGGCTATTCCAGTGTACGTGTGCCGGCCCCTGTGCTCAATTCTTTTTCCTTTTTTTCGCGCGACCATGTGCAACGCCCGTGTCTGATGCTCTCTCTCTCTCTCTCTCTCTCTCTC